TGATGGACACAGTTCTTTTGTTGAAGCCCAGGACATTGTTTGCTTTCTGGGCTGTCAGTGTGCATTGCTGACATCAACCAACATTCTCAAGTCCTTCTTGGCAGGGCTTCTCTCAGTATATTCTCTGCTCAGTGTGTATTTGTGCTTGAGTTTGTCCCAAAATGGATTAAAGACTTTGCACCTGGTCTTGTTGAACTCCCCAAAGTTTGCATGGACCCACCTCTCAAGCCTGTCAAGATCCCTGTGGATGGCATCCCTTCCCTCCAGAGGGTGGACTGCTCCACAGAGCAAATTTCTGTTTCAAGGTAAACCTATTGAAGGCACACTGAAATCCAGTGTCCATATTGCCAGCAAAGATGTATAACAGCACCAGTTCAAATACCAAATCCTGAGAAACAGGAACACCACTTGTCATTGTTCTCCACTTGGACATCGAGCCATTGGCAGCAAAACTTGGAATGTGGCTTTCCAGCCAATTCCACTGGCCCATTCCTGACATCAATTTTTCTCCATTTTAGAGACAAGGATGTTTTGTGAGACACTGTCAAATGCTTTGCATAAATCCAGGTAGATGGTGTCAGTTGCTTTTGCCTTTTCCACCAGTGCTACAATCCTTTTGTAGAAGGCCCACAAGTTTGCCAGGCACAATTTGCCATTTGGGAAGCAATTTTGACTGTCGCTAAGTACATCCTTATTTTCCATGTAGCATGTTGTCCAGGGGTCTCTGCTCCATGATCTTACCCAAAGTGGTCTATAGTTCCCTGGGTCTTTCTAGTTTCTCTTTTAAAAATAGCTATTTTTTCCTCTTTTCCAATTAGTGGCTACCTTGTGGTCTCCACTTCCTCTGCAGTTCCTTCTAGACTCATGGATTCATTTCATCATGTTCCATGGACTTGTGAATTTTGAGGTTGCTTAGATGGTCTCAAACATGGTCTTCTGCTAAAGTGGGTTGTTGTCCATTCACCCAGGTCCTGCCTTTCCTTCTTCAACTCAGGCTGTGTGACTGTTTCTCAGTTATTAGAATACTTAGTTCAGTTCACAGTGTGTCTCCTGACAGTTTTGCCTCCTAGGCTTGTGCAAAATATTCTGAAGACTTACTATGAAGTTGAAGTTGCCATAGCCACAATCATTATCCATCTGTATCTCATACAATTATTATTTGCACTATTGAATTCTCTGGAGGTAAAATTAAAGTAGAGCTTTTGTAATTTCTTTTCCAACTCAAGCTTTTGTTTTTGTTTCCCACCATCTCTTTAGCAATCCTGTTTCCCAGGAGACAACTTGATATGTCCTCATGCTTTCAAGAGACTGTAGTTCAATAGATTAGTAGAAGGTAGGAGTTTCCAGATGTTTATGTGCTTGCCCAAAAAGTTGTCCATTGGTAGCAAATGAACACCTGGAAAGACACAATCCAAACACAGGACTTTTTTAGCTGATTGACATATGTCTGGAATGAATGAGAAAAATGGAATTGAAATTAGGATCAGTTTGGACCAAGCCCTTCATTGTCAATTTGTCAATTAGAATTTTTGTTCAAATTCTGATATAATTCACAAACACTGTACTGACTGAGTCATTACCACCCATGGAAGTGGAGGATAGAAATAATGCATTGCTTTCACACTATCTTTACTTAAGAGATATGTTGAGAAATGTTCATTATACTGCTGAACATGGGCAATTCAAAGGAGATGGATGGTGCAAATGTTTTGTAATGGAATATGAAGCCTTCCACCCAGAAGTCATGCTCACACCCAGACCAAACAGCTGATGGCAAGTGAGCAGTTAAGTTGAGCTACTAAGGAGTTTACTATGAAAAACCTTTTTTTTCCCAGTGAAATAAGTGGTTCTGTACACAATCGTGAGGTTCAGCAGGGAAAACTGATTGTTCTAAAATTTTGTTTCATCTGGGAAATCAAAATGAAAATAAGAGAAAAAAAATAATACAAAACAAACCACTTTTTTCTCATTTTCTTTTCTCTGAGAAAAACCCCAACATAGCTGCTCCGTACAACATTATTTCAAGACTCAGTTGTTTAGGACACTGTATTTCATAGTGTTAATCTAAGTGTCTAGTGTTGTGTTTTCTAAGCAAGATTCTCCAGGAAGGAAGAACCCTTTGGAGGGGTCATATGGAGGCACAATGAAAAGGTTAGCCTAGGAAAAGTAATATGTGAAAGAGGTTCTCATTCCTTTAAATATCACAGTACAAAGTAAAGATCAATTTTGGTGTTTCAGGGAGGCAGGGAGGATGGTGCAAGACAGAGTATTTCATTTTATCCTCATGCACAAGAAATTCTTGCAGGATGGAATAATAGATAAGTATTGTTTTATAAAAGGCCTCACGTTTTCAAAAAAAATTATTATTTTAGCTGATGCCTAATGCTGCATATATGCCTTACGGAGAATTCTTGTGGTAAGGAAAGGGAAGACAAAAAATCCCCATGAGCTGTCCTTTTCAAGTTCAGGTTTGAGGCCTGCGATGATCATTAATCTCTACTTTATTTCATTTCAGGCCACTGCTGGGGTGGAACTTCTTATTGTCTCTAAGAAATCAAGCCTTACTTAAAGTAAATAAGATATTATTTTTCATAGAAATATTACTTTTTACCCAACATGTGTGAGATAGATTGTAATTCGTGTGCATGAATGAAGAGGGAAAAAGAAACAATTCCACAGAGCATACATTTTGTCTCTGAAAAACAGGAGGGTTTTTTTGTCTGATCATATGAGAGAGTAGATTTCTTTTCAATTTCAAGGTCTTTTAGTTCATAACAGTGTTTTTGTTATATCAGTGATAACTGGATACATTCGGAGTACTGTTTTGGGGAGTTTGGTACTTCTAACCACTTTTGACAACAGGTTTGGAGAAAACTTAGTGGAGGCTTCTCCCTGTTGAGAACTTGCCTCCACACATACACACACATACACATACACACACACGCACACATACACACACACACACACACAGGGTGGATCCTGGGTGGAAAATACCCACCTTCAGAGAAGAGATGTCTTCTGTTTACTTGGCCTGAATTACAGTCCTGGTACTATAGGAGTAGGACATTGTTACCCTGAACTGTCATTGGGGCAATCACAATGAGGAGAAAAATATAGCTATCATTATGAGAGCTTTACATTGCATAGTTTATCTCTATAACAGTGTGCTATGATGTGCCTAATTAGACTGTATCAGCTGCTCCACGTCTGCTGCTGAAGGGAGACTTTCTTATTGTATCTAGTAAACAGAGAGCTCTCAGCCTGTGATTTAGCACCGAAATTAAATTTAAGCATAGTTTCCCATTTGATTATCAGGCTATGGGTGACTTTTAAGGATCCTTTTCAATCCATTACTTCTGCTAGCTGTAAACACTCTGCCATGATTTCTTCCTCTCCTTGGTGGATACAGACTAACTGAAAACTCATCCATTTAAAGTTAGAGGGGAGCAAATCAAAATAATTCCAAGTACACAAATTTTTGATGACATTCAGTATCCTTTTTTGATTGTCACCTTCTGTGTCTGAATCTCAGTTATTGAGTCACAGTAAATGTGATTGGCTTGAGTAAACAGAAAGTAAGAAGACCTCCAGAAAGTAATACAGGATAAGAAATAGTGAAAAAAAAAAAAAGTTATTTTTCTTCTTTTTCATTCCATATCATAACTTCATTGTGAGAGGAGTACAGTGACTTCCACAGAACAATCTTTGAGAAAAAAATGTAAATTTATAGAAAAAAAAATCCTATTTTCCTGTATGTGCTAATCTATTAAAAGCATGTAAAAGTGTGTATTTCTTCAGTAATATTATCAAAGGAAACAATTTGGAAAAACCAGTGAACATTGTGTGGATAAAATGCTCACAGTGGCAATCAAAGCTGAAAAGAAGTTTACAGTCTACTGTTTACTCACCTGTTACATACTTTATATATTCTTGGGGAGAGGATGGGTGGATAAAGGTGACATTATGGGACTTGTTTATTTCTTTGGTAATCTCTCTGAATTTGTGTTGCTCTTAGTTTGAGGGACATGCTGCCTGAACCTTAAAAGATATGATACCTCCATTTCAAGGAACTGGAGACATTCTGTAGTAATTTCAGAGAAACTGTCTTCTGCATAGCAAACATATTTTTTGCTGCAGGAACTGGCAGGTTTTCAGTATACTGCAGTAAGAAGAAATAATTTGATCACATCAGGCACACAAATGGAGTAAGATATTGCAACATAAACCAGTTTTACTGGAAGGGAAGCATAGAGATGGGGAATGAAAGCATAGCAGGGTTCTACTTTGACAGGGCTTTAGGTTTTGTAGTTGATAAATTAATCTTTGGAAGAATTCAAGATGTAACCCATTAGTATGTCTCTGAAGTTCAAGTGATCTGTGGGTCAGGGATGTTTTGGAGTGATTGTTTGGGCTTTGGCATGATTGTGTTTATGACTGGAAGTCAGTGAGTCCTTGCAGCAGCCAGTGCAGGGAGGTGGATTTCTGGTGTGATGCAAAAAAAGCAATGAGTTTTTAATACAGGTCAGGCTAGACAATAGAAATTTTCCTCTGCAATAGGAAGTTCCAACTCCTTGTATGTCCTTGTATTAAAGTACCTAGTACAAAAGAAAGGCATGAGACCTTTCAGCATATGGCAGCAAGGGCCTTGTTCCCAGTGCTGCTGCTGGAGTAGGAGTGGGATGTCTCGTCCCACCTTGCCATCATGTGGAACCTTTGAGATCCCTAATCCTGTGCAGCCTTCTGTAGCTGACACTTAAGCATGTGTTGAAGGAAAAATAAGCACTCACAGGTACACTGTTGCTCACTTTCCACGAGGATTCAGAGGAAGCTATGATAGCTTCATTTCTTGACTTCTACTACTGACACACTAAGGAGAGAATTTTATGATTGATTTGCTGGGAATGGGATGATGACAGGAAAGTGGTTTGTTCTACGTCTCAATTTCAGAAGGATCTTCTCTGAAATAGCACTGTTAGCGAGATGTTTCTTTATCTTTGCAGGCTGTGCCTTCCTAACATACTGCGAAAGGGAGTCTGCTCTAAAGGCCCAGAGCGCACTGCATGAACAGAAGACGCTGCCGGGGGTGAGTCGAGACTGATAACTTTTTTTTTTTTTTTTTTTTTTTCTTTTAAGTCTAAAATGGGTTACATATGGTGTTCTTATCTCAGATTTGGAAGCAGAAAGTCTCTGTTTGTTCGGATGATTCAATATTTGCATTGTGCTAAAAAAATCAAGATACCACCAAGCCACCCAAATGGTTTCCATGCAAAAAATAAAAGCTTTTTGCCCTTATTGGGAGTAAGGAAAACAGAAATCAACTGGTAATGGACTGGATTCTACCAGCCTAACTCAGGTGAGGAACTGCTTTATGATTCTGACCACTACAGGGAAATGTTAGAAGTCCTCACCAGGTGCTTCCTCTTGCTACTTTTCTTCTCTGAAGCAAGGTTTGGCAGCAAGAAATCAAGAAACAGATCACATTATTGAGTTATCACAGAATGAAAACATATTCCTGATGACAAAGTGGTTTGACTCAGTTACTTTAGTATTCAAGCAGCTGTAGCAGACTGGAAAGGCGGTGAGACAAGGAGAAAAGAGAGAGAGAGAGGAAAGACGCACACGAGATAATGAGGAAAATTATTCACATGAGCAAGATCTAAGGTTCAGACAACACAAGCAGAACTAAAAATAGAATCAACATTATGTGGGGAAGACTTGTCCTGCTGGGATGGGTTTCTAGTTAAGTGGTTACCCGAGGGAGGGAGAGACTATTTAGATTCAGCCAGAGTACGTGGATTGGGAACAGCCAAGTGCTCCTGTAGCTGGAATGGTGCTGGTTTCACAACGAGCAGGAACCAGTGACTGCGTAACGAAGAGTGGGCTTCTGAGTTCCAGGCTGCACCTAAACTGAGAGGAAATCTACCCAAAAGTCTGTTTTTATTAGCTGGTGTTGAATGATTGATTGCTGTGTAGCTATAACCTGCCTTTCCCTCAGATCTAAGACACTCCCTTGTTCCTGTGTTTTGAGGAAAGTGTTGATTCTGCTCTGCTTGTTTCCATCATCCTGGATCTATTTACCTATCTCTAAGCCACCTTGCCAGTATGGAGATGCCCACGCACTTGCTCATCTACATCTATCTTTGCTTAAAAGGCCATACCTTATGCAAATATATACATACTTCATTGCCTAAAAATATTTCTGTCAGCTGACAACTCCCTCTGAATTTTTTTTTCCCTAGAAATTCCTTAGCAGCAGATTGAAAGTAACTTCGGTCTTGTGGGGGGGATTTCAGTTGTTCTATCTCATCCCCCTTCCAATATTTTCCTTTTGCTTCTCTCTTTCCTGAATGATAAAACTGGATAGAAAAAAAAAAAAAAAAAAAAAAAAAAAAAAAAAAAAGAATATGTTGAATAGGGATGTTTCAGATAACATTTTAACTGAAATTTTCAGAAATATGTTTGAAATAAAGTACATATTTATCTAAACTAGAGATGTGCTGAATAAGGTGAATAAGGTGTTGTGTATTTAAAAAAGAATAATTGAAATTACAGATTTTCCACTGAGACTCCTTGTACTTCTCATTAGGAGGGAGATCATTCACTTGCAAATGGAACTCTATGGAGGGCAAGTGATAATTTAGGGTTTTTTTTTTCCCTAAGTTCTTTATATAGTCATAGTTCTGAATCTCAATCTCTGTGTTAGAGACTTCACAAAATTCTTAAAGTCAAAACTGTTTTCTTGGACAGTGATAAAATTCAACCAGCTTTTGTGTTAGGATCAAGACTTCCTTCAAAGGCTGCACCAACTCTTTCTAGACTACAGGGAAACAATTTCATCCTTGGCTAGTGCAATTTCTCTTACATATACTCCATACTGGCCACACTGCCTCTATAAGGCCTTTTTTTTTTTTTGTTTCCTTATACACTTTCAGAAGATGCATCAGGATCTCATTGAGCTGGGAGTAGTGAATCCTCTGTATAAAAGTGCAAACAGGTTTCTTAGAGTTCTGAACACTGATTTTCCCATCCCTTTCATTTCCTGTTCTATTTGTCTCAGGATAAAGGTTTACTTTCCACCAGCAAACCCTCTTCATTCAGCTTTCTGCCAAGTTTCTGAACTCATCCTCTGAATGACATCACTGTAGTTTATTTAAGGAAACAGTCTTGTCTCTTGCTAAAGTATCATGCCTGGATACTGTTTTATGGTTCCTATCTGAGTATAAGAGAATTATTTATGATTTACCTGACTGTTCTTGATAACATGCACCAAAAATATCAACCATAGTTCATCACCATAAAATAAGAGGCACTTTTAAGGTCAGGGGTCTAAGTCTTTATTCACATAAGTTCAAAATGAGACAAATACAACATCTTCTCTTGACACTCCACTGTCTGTGACACAAACAGCTCGACCGAGGAGGCATAAAAAACAATTAACGGGCATAGTATAGGAAAAAATAAATAGTACTAGACTAAGCCATTCTTTCCCATTCTCCAGTAAACTGTACACTTTCTTGCTCTTGCAATATTGCTGTTCGTATTCTTTGTATTATAAAACACAGAACTAAGTAATTTTTAATAATATGCACAAGAATGGAAATGGTGAGGCATGAGGAGGTTTTGTCCAGATTCAGATACCTTGCCTCTTAGCTATGTATCACTTTGTTTTTAGTGGAGTGGCTACATGCAGATATTTTACAGTAATTACTTTCTGGATGTGTTTTGTACTATGACAGAAATATGTTTCACATATTTCTATGTTATATGTAGGACATAAACTTATCTTGTGGAATAATCAAAAGACTTCCAAGCAGGTATGTGTTGATTAATAAAGTCTTTATGGCACTTTGTTTTTGGGTAGGAAGGAAACATGGTACATATTTTGAAGCAACTGGAATGTAAAACATAAAACTATTACTTGGATCTTCTTCATCTGAATGAGTAAATTAGGTTCTTTTGGAGAGTTTGAAGTTGTTTTGCCTAGAATGGAAGGTTAATGTAGCACAGTGTGTATATATGTGTAAAGAGCACTTTGTGATTTTTGGACAATTCAAATTCTAGTGTTTACTTGTGATTGTTTATTTTACGTATAATAGAGTGGTTGTATGATGAAGTATATTAGTTCTTTAATAATTTATAGAAATGCTTTGATGTTGCAGTAATTACATTAAAGGTCACATATCAAAGGTAATTTGGTTGAGCAGCTGTGATGGTTTCTCAGAAGCAATCAATATTGCTGTCCATGGCGCTGATTTCACCAAGGGGACTGCCAGATTAAAGGAGGCTTATTACCAGACAGAGAGACACGGGGGAAATCAAGAATAGATTGGAGAGATGCACTATTCTTTTTCCTCACCTATAATTAACACTGGTCACCATAATCTGTGCTAATCCTTCATAGTGGGAAACCACCTTTTTTTTTTTTTTTTAAACTCACATTATAAAAAGGGACTAAGGCAAGGGAGAGTAATTTAGGAGAGCAGAAAAGAGAAATTAGAGAAAGTAATAGAGTAAAAGTTGATTCGCCCCTGGGATTTCTGATGCTGATATATCCCACAAGGATAAAATTCAATATCAAACCACAGGCCACGGTCCCAAGGAAAACAAGGCTAGGGGGGTGAAATGGTCTAGACAATGACAGTGCAATGTATGGGAGAATTATCTGCCTGCAGATTTTGTATATTATCTATTTGCCCCACAAAGCTCCACAGGAAATGAAATCGGGGAAATAAAATTATGTTTTAAGTGTAGTAATTTTGATTACAAATTATAGTGAAGCGAACTTTTTCTCCCCTTTCTTTTTTCTTTCTCAAGTGAATGACAGAGGATAATGCTGAGAAATGTAATTATGCTATCAAGATCTACTTTTATTTATAGCACAAATAAACTGAGCTCTTGTTTGATAAGCACAGCAGCATTTTTCTTTCCCTAGTTCTTTGTGGCTCTTTAAGGCAATAGGAGAGAACAGTCCATGTATACTTGGTTGGAGGCACTGTCTCTTTGCATAATGTTAAAACCTTTCTGTAAGACTTGCAAAGAATAACTATGAAATTAAGTATGCACAAAACTGTTAACCTCAGCAATCTGCGGGGCTTGTTCAGTCTGGGTTTTCTTACAGTATCTATTCCTCTTGAAAGAGACAGTGGTACCACTGGTATGCTAAATTTCTCAGTGTGTAACATAATTAGTTTTCTCCCTAACTGTTCTGATATTCTTTGTCTCTTCTTGCCATCTAGAAAAAATGCATTCTGTTTTATTCATCATATGCAAAAATATGCATCTTTAACATTAGAAGACAGGTGAGTTCATAAAACTCATATTAAAACCATTTTTTAAAGAAACAAAAACTTTCCATCTAATTTCAGATGCCCATTGCTTGTCCTTTTTGTTTGTGTTTATTGAGGCTTTGCTTGTTTGTTTTGTTTTGTTGAGGGGGTTTGTTTATTTGTTTGTTTTAATAAAAAAGGTTTTTCCAATATTGCAGGTCTTACCTGACTTAAATATTTATGTAGATATGAGGAAAGACACCTGAACATAGGGGAGAGGAGTTTTGTTGGGGGGGGGTTGTTTGTTTGTTTGTTTGTTTGTTTGTTTGAATAAAAAAGGTTTTTCCAATATTGCAGGTCTTGCCTGACTTAAATTTTTATGTATATGTGAGGAAAAACGCCTGACCATAGGAGAGAGGAGGGAGGGTACCTTGCAAGATCTGGCCTGTCTTAAATGCATGTCATAGGGCTTAAATGAGACCTAAGTGTCATGTGGACTTCAGAAATCCTGCACATATAGCATGGATTTCACTGTTTAGGCAGGTCTTGAAATTTTACTGTCTTATTGTATTTTTTTTTTAATGTTTCAAAGCTTTTTCCAAAAGCTTTTTAGAAAACTATTAAACCACATATCACCCTGCATGCTGTGTTGTGCCAAAAATGATATTATATTCCCACAACTTCCCATTTCAAAAGTTTTTCTCTACTGATGTAAATTGCAATTTGGTCAGCAGTGGTAGGCTGGATGGGTTCCATTGATTAAAGTAGCCTGCTGAACACACAGCCTGCTCACCATACCCTTTAGATTTTGAAAGAA